ACATAAAAAAGTTGTTAATTTTTTAAAACCCTTTATTCTATTTATAATATACATACATACATACATACATACATACATACATACATACATACATATATATATATATATATATATTGTTTATTATAATTTTGATAACTTGTTAACAATGAAGGAACAAGTTGTGAAAAATAGAATAAATTATGTTTCAAAAAATTGAAAACTTTTTTTTATGTATAAACAGGTGATGTTTGGATATATACAAGTAATTGTTTAGATATACAAAACAAGATGTCCATGATTAATAAAAGCCTGTAAAAATGCTTAAAAAATAAATTTATAACATATATATTTTTTATTTAGCATATTATTGATAATTGTTAATATTGAAGGAACATGTTGTGAAAAAAAGAATAAACTGAATTTTAAAAAATTGACAAGTTTTTTTATGTATGAACAAATCATATTCAAATATGTACAAGTGATTATTTAGATATACACAATAAGATATTCATAATTAACAAAAACCTATGAAAATGCTTGATAAAATAAATAAATTAGCTTGTTAAAAAAATGTGACAATTAGGTTTTAAAAAATTGACAATTTTTATGTATGAACAAGTGATATTTAAATATGTACAAATGATTGTTCATATATGCACACCAAGATGTTCATGATTAACAAAAACTTGTGAAAATATCTTTTTTATCTAGCATAATATTGATAACTTGTTAACATTGAAGTTGTGAAAAATAGAATAAATTATATATAAAAAAATTTTTTTATATATGAACAAGTGATATGCACAAGTGATTGTTAATATATATACAACAAGATGTCCATGATTAATAAAAGATTATGAAAATGCTTGAAAGATAAATTTATAACATATATTTTTTTATTTAGCATAACATTAATAACTTGTTAACATTAAAAGAACAAAGTATGGAAAATAGAATAAATTGGGTTTAAAAAGATTGACAACCTTTTTATATTTGTAGAAGTGATGTTTGAATATGTACAAGTAATTATTCATGTATACACAACAAGATGTCTATGATTAATAAAAGTCGGTGAAAATGCTTGAAAAATAAATTTATAACATATACTTTTTTATTTAGTATAACATTGATAACTCAATAATACTGAACAAACAAGTTGTGAAAAATAAAATAAATTGAGTTTCAAAAAATTGTCAAATTTTTTTTTATATATGAACAAGTAATTTTCAAATATGTATAAGCAAATGCTCACACACACACACACACAAACAACAAGATATTTAAGACATGCAATGACAAGTGAAAATACTTATAAATAAAAGTTATATATAATATATATATATATATATATATATAAAATTTTGCACTATATACATTAAAATGCTTATTGGCTCAATAGTTCCCTTTATTTTGGAGACCATTGACGCTTTGCATATTTGATTGGTCATTGACTATCGTGCTAGTGCTAGAGCTCCAACAAGCGACAGCAGCAATTTGACACTAACAATGGCTTTGATAGTTGATGATAAGACACCTTTTGTTTTAAATAAATAAAAGGTAAGGGTATTTTGGTAATTAGACAAACAAAATTATTGCAATTTGGGTCCTTAATCCTGTAAAAATATTTCAGAATGATTTTGGCCCTACATGTAACACTATAGTAATGTCCGCCCGACATTACCAATTTAGCACACAAATCTCAATACATAATCATATTTAAAGATTTCACAAACCTCTCGTAACGGCAAAGTTGATAAATACTCCAAATAAGGAAAATAAATATCTTTTAAAAATTTAGGATTCCAAGACCTTCTAAAATTCTTTAGAGCTATTTAAAGATATCATTTTATTGTGTAACAAGAGCTTATTTGCTTCATACTAGACTTTATAAGAAACAAAGCAAAACAATGAATGTTTAGGAATAAGACAATATGTCGTGGCACATGCCACATGTACCACAACATGTAATACAAAGCCACGAGCTCCCTTGCTGTGTTATATGTTGTGGTATGTCACCATGCATCGTGGCGCATATGACATATTTTTTATTGTTATAACAGTTCATAGATGTGAACTTCTAGCGTGTGTCATTTTTGCATACATAATCCAAATGGAATGATTCAAACATCCACATGAAACTTATAAGATAAGCATTTTAATGAAATAAGTTAGATATGATCTAATAGTTCGATCTCTATATAGACACCCGAGTGTAAAAAGTCTATTTTTTCAAAAACCAAGCACTCAAAGTGTTCAAACTCCACTTTGTTTCATTAGACCATCTAGGTCTTGAACAGAGTTCAAAATAACCAATTACATCTGATTGAATATTAATATTATCATAATTACACATACATTCACATTTAGCCATCAAATCGCCCTTTTACACATAACAGGGCTCATTTTTACAAATTCTCATTTACCAATATTCTTGGCTAAAATTCTCCATACTTTCACCACTTTTATACTCACACATTCATAATATAATTGTAATCCTATCTTAGCCCATTATCACATATTTCACCACATATCATACCCATTGGGCTAAGATACATAAAATCACCACACATCACATCAAAATATGCTAATACATCATAAGGCAACTTAAATCCTTTACAAATTCATAGAAAGGCAAATTTATTACACATATTTTTGGATAGCACAATAGTAGCATCCCTATACCGAGCTTGAATCTTTTCCTTTACCCTGCTTACTATCAAAACTTGTAAAAATGTAACCATAGGTGAGATAAACATTTCAATAACAAAATAACTCTCAACTATTAATTAACATGTATAACTATAAATAAGTAAAGCTTATATAAACATATAGATGTGTGTGTGTGTGTTTCCAATTTCATAAAATTATTCCCACATCAAATAATTTACACTATCATAATTACCTACCATCCAATTTTTTATATCACCCTGACTGAAACCATAGATTTTACCAGGCTAATACACACTCAATGACCGAAGCATACCTTTAGTGGTAAAATTACTGGGTTAAATATGTTCTGTCTCACTCTTGGACTGTAGTTTCCCCCAATCACACATAATTGGGGCATCATTATTCCAACATCATATCGTACTGATACTAAGGAGCTCAAATCTCTAATACCGTACCCACAAGGGCTAGTGGAGAGAATTCTCTAACACAGCACCTATTTAGGTACTATGGAGAGGAATTATCCAGCACTGTACTTTGTCGAGTACTAAGAAGAGTAAATGTCATATAGACTTCTATTACTTCTTTCTACGGTGAACTCTCACCCCCTATTATGATCATACTTACATACAAACCACATGTTTGTATTTTGATCCATACACACACTTAATCGCGTGTTTTTCTAAATTCCTCTTCTTCAAACCATTTTCATGCACAACTTTAAAACAAATTCAAGTGGTAAAATAATTACTCATAAATAGTTAAGCTATATAATCAACTAGAGTAAGTTATTCGGTTACCTCAACATTTTTATATTTAAAAAGATTACCTACAGATTTCCTCTAATCACTTAACATCACCACACACTTCCTTTACCTCAGAGCGCACACACACGTGGTACTAATCTATACAAATTAACACTATTAGTTAATTTACCAATTCCCATAAGTATTAATCATAACTATTAATCATAATTAACCATTCATTTCCTTTCTCTTGACCAATCTAGGTCTCAATTACCCCATTTAACTCATTTATCATTTCAACAAGTTCTAATACACTCCACACAAATCTTCACCCCTTTTTAACTATCCATTTAGGGCTAATTTAAGCTTAAAAACTCAAAGCTTAATCACTAACTTTCAGACTAGTTATAAAACCTTAATTCGATTCTCAAGATTTTTTTTGTTACTAAAAGGTGAGAAATAAACTCCTTAAAACTTTTCATTCAATTTTTCCATTAGTTAGACAAAGAGAAATTAGGGTATAATTAAAGTTTAAGGCTGTATGAAACTTACTAGACAAGCGACTAGTTGGAAACATCACCCAAGTTTCTACAAAGTAATGCCTTAGCAGAACGTTGGCTTCTCCTCTTGTCCTTCACGTCTCTCTTCTTCTCTTCTTTCTAATTTCACGAGCTAAACATGTAACTACTTATCACTTTTTTGTGCCATGAGCCATGTTGCAGGCATCACATGTTGCAACGTGTAGCACAATAAGGGAAACTTTCAACACGCTCGCATGCTTCTCTCTGCAATACTATTCTTTCATCCAGTCTTATTCATTTAACATCCCAACAAGTTAAAATATTAATTTATTAATTAAAATCCTAATCACACACTAATTTATCCTTTATTAGCAATTAATTCCATAATTGTGAATTTAGGATGTTATATTGCATGCTATTAATTTGATTTTGAGGGCCAAACTCTTTAAAAAATCTGAGATAATATTATTTCAAAAAAAAATTAAAATATCAGGTGCTTTTTATAAAAAAAATTTTCAGGACATGTTTTGTTCCTTAACCTTAAAAATATCACCTTTTTTAAAATTCAAGCATTAAAAAAAAGCCTAAATGATATTTTTGGTCAAAGGTAAAAAAGGTCGCCTGGTAAGAGTATAAACATGACTTTATTTTAAGCGGTAAAGAACAAAAGATCCACCACCGACTGGAGAGTTAACGGAAACTTGGTCCTGAATTGATGAAGAAGCAAGAGACTTCTTGGAAGAATTGGTCATTCCTCCGCATCCACGTGAATCCTCGAAAACCGCATTCTCTCTCACGCTTTTCTTTCATCTTCTTTATCTTCTTCGGAAAGGAAAGAAGCAGCAATGAAAAAGCATATATACCTTACCCACCTCCGTCACCGTACGCGCGTCATTCATCTTTTCGTCTTCATGGGAATTAGTCTTTCTCTGTTCAGTCGATGGCGAATTCTCCCCTACCTCCCTCTTCCGATTCATCCAGTGACATTTCAGTATCTTTGGACGCTGAGAGCATCGCCAAGAGCGTTAATGCCTCTACTTCTGGTATCTTTTTATTTTTTGAAAAAAAAAAAAGTTTTAATACTTCCGGCCCCCACTCTCCCAGCCATTCTATGTCGTAATTGTAATGTTCCTGCTATAGGACTTGACTCTCTACCTCTTCCAAAGGAATATTGATGCTTTTCTATTCGGAAGCTCAATTCCTGAGTCTCAGGGTTATACATACTATTTATGGCCTGACCAGGGTTACATAATCCCCAATCCAACTTTTGTTTGTTTTTTTGTTTGTTGTTGTTGTTGTTTTTTTTATTTTTTTTGAAAAAAACCTCTGTTCGGATTAAAATTTTTATGTATAATATTCCCTCTCCCGCTCTCGCTAACCGCAGATACTTTATTTGTTGCCATCGCTTTCCCACTTGCTTGGCTTCTTCATTTTGTCCTCCACTCTGTATTTCTGGCTGTTGACCCTTGATTCTATTACTGTAATCTCTATCCCAATGCGTTACGCAGTATATGTTTGATCAAATATCATCAGTATTGAAGTTCTTTCGTATGTTCAAAGGTCCCTTCAAGGTCTTGTGTTTCACGTGCATAACAATAGAAGCAGGCAATTGTACTATTTCTAGTGATACGCTATAAGTTTGTACACCACACAACGCTTTTTCTCCTGATATGTGTGTCGTGCGTCTTTTTAGATCTGAAGCAGCTGTCCATTTAGTTTTACGTTGGCAACCACCTATGATTGTTACAATTTTTTTGGTCTTCTCAGTAAGCATGCTGCTGCTGCTGCTGCTGCTGAGGATGACATATTACTACTACTACTACTATTGAGATCTTAGAAGAATAAGGAGGTAATGTTCTGCAATGTATGCAGTTCCTTGGTGTCAGTTGGATCGGAGAGCTCATACTTTTATAATTTTCCCATGCTCCTAGGGCTACGTCAGAGTGACCTCATTTTTATGCCTTTTCTTTGGTGCCAGACCTATGACTCCTACAGGGAGACCTCCTTGATAGATATTCACAGGGATTGGAGGACTCTTTTTTACCAACAAGCTTGTTTAGTTTTCTGTGTGCTCTTTCTGTTTCCTTTTTGTCTTAATTGCAGAGGATATCTCATTTCTGATCTGTGTTCATCTGTATACCTTCTTTCTTAACATATCATTTTCCTTTGAAATAAAAAAGACTTCAGTATGTAAGATTGATGTTTCATATAGACAGGAACTCAACAACTAATATGCCATGGGAAATAATTATGCCTGAACAACGAGAAGTGGGTCATAGTCCATGTAGTAGTGCTGGAAAAATCAAACAAAATGATAGATTTTGTGCAATGGCCGCTAGATTCTTTGATGAGAAAGTTCCGAGAGGAAAAAGGTTTGCCACGTTACTGTCTTTGAGCTCCTTTTTCTTCCTTTCTACATAATAAAATCAAGGGATGATATCATGATATGTGATATTGGACTGAACTTGCTGTATTAAAATTTGTAGTAGTTAATTTTCACCAGATTTAGACATTGGCTTTGAATAATTGATTTATCTCAGAAATATATTTGTAATTTCATGGGTTACATTGCAATTCATCTATTGCTTTGTTATAGCAATATAACTTACTGCACTTGATGGGATTTGTTTCAAATGCGTTGGATCTGCTAAATTTGATAATGAATCATCTCTGTAACGCACTTAAGTTCTCTGTTTGCTTTATCTTTTGCATCCTCAAGAACTTGTTACAACATTGCAGGTGAAGTGGCTAAAACAAGTTGCTATGGTTAAGGATGATGGTACTGTTGCAGTTCAAGTTCCAGCAGACATTAAGCCACAGTGCATTGACTTCGGAACTACTGTTATGTATAATGAAGAATCTGGTGAGGCAACAGACGTTCAAAATATTCCACCACTTCAGATTGTAATGCTTATTGTTGGCACACGGGGAGATGTTCAGCCATTTGTTGCCATTGGGAAGCGTTTACAGGTTTTTTTTTTTTTTTTTTGCATCACTATTTTTTGAATTGTAGTTTTCAAGAGAAAATCATTGCAGTAAATTACATGTGCTACATATAATTGCTTTTCTGCCATGCTTGAGGAAAGACGTACAATTGGGGTTCTGATGGAAGCAAAGTTGCATGACAGGAACTACTGTTATAAATGAGACACTCTGGAGACTTATTATCTGTCTTGATAAATTCATGGACTAAACCTGGATATTAAACTTCCCTGATCAAAACAAATATAAGATGTTCTATTGTTAGGCCCATTTAATCTTAGTCTTCCTATGTTAATCTGGCTTGTGACAAGTTATGTCTGGTTTTATATTAGATCTACGGCATAAGAAGTTCCTGTAATGTGAATCCTTGGATGACATGTGGGTGCTTTGCATCTATGTCACATCTTGAACACAGAAATTTGACGTTGAAAATGCATTCAATAAAACCTATTTTTTTTTGTAAAGTCTTTGTTGAAATCTCTCATGTAAAATAGATAGATGTGTTCTCATTGTTCCTTAAGTGAATGTTTTATTTGGACTAGCTTTTAATTCAGGTGCTAATTTGCTTTAGATGATTTTCTCATGTGCTCCCCTCACCACTTCCAACTCTCACAACATCTGAACGTCTATGTTCTTTCTTTCTTAAGTAATTTAATCTGAAAATCCTGTTGTTTTTTAGCCTGCAAGGGACAGGAAACTTTTCAAGGAATTTAAGGCTTTAATAAACACTTGTATGGGATGAAATCATATTTACAAATGATTGACTTAAACATAAAGCTATCGCTCTTGCTTATCCTTAAGACATTATTATAGCTGGTCCTGGACATCCAATCATTTCTTCTCGCTATTTATGAAACTGTCAGCTGCTCTTATGTTCCTATTATTGTTGTTCTCTAGTCATTGATGCCTCGACAGCTTTCTAGGTCAATTTAAGTTTTATGCAATATAAATTGATCACTGCCAAAGTTTGGTTTGCAGGAATATGGCCACAGGGTTAGGCTAGCCACACATAAAAATTTCAAAGATTTTGTCTTGAATGCTGGCTTGGAGTTTTTCCCTTTAGGTGGAGATCCTAAAATTCTTGCTGGCTGTAAGTGTTTAATCTCTTATTTAGATACAGTTTTGTTAGATTGTTCGTTTTAATGATTCTACACTTGATGTGAAACACCACCTGCTGACAGCTTGAACTAAATTGATCTTCTTTGGCGTTTGCATGTTAGTCCAACTGGAATTGTAGCTTGCAGGAATAGCACATCCTCCCCCCCTTTAACAAGTAGTGTCACTTATTAAATTTTGTCTTGAAAAAACAAAGATGAAGAATATACCACTTAAAGCTCAAACTGAGTCAATATTAAATCAAGAGCTGTTCAAATATTTTAATCTTTTTCAACAGAAGGTGAATGGGTGAGCCAACGGCAATTCAAGAAACTACGGTTGCCTTGTGAAAATGAATCATTCAAAACTTTCCAACTGAGCTTTATATGTGATTTAGGTGCTTCATTTTTATATTATCAGGGACAAATTTTAAATGTGAATGTGTGTGTATTAGAGAGATAGAGGGACGAATAGATAGGATTTTACACTTACACTTTGAAATGTTCTCTGCAGATATGGTCAAGCATAAAGGCTTCTTGCCATCAGGACCTTCAGAAATACCCATTCAAAGAAAACAAATGAAGGATATCGTTTTCTCTCTGCTTCCTGCATGCAAGGATCCTGACCCTGATTCTAAGATTCCCTTTAGAGCAGATGCAATAATTGCCAATCCTCCTTCATATGGTTAGATACTTAAGACTTCACTATTTAACGTTGGCTTTTGGTTTGAACTGGTCATTATTATAATACCTTGCAATACAATATAACTAAAATAAAAATTGACAGCAGAGTCTTTTTACTGTAATCACACAAAAACACTTATACACTTACAAGTATCTATTTTCTTTAATCTATAAATCCTCTCTAAACTCTTGATGCTTGTTATCTTAAAAAATTCCCACTCTCCCACCTTATATTTCTTTCTAATCTTTCATTTATCTGCCTGCTGCTTCATTCTGTTCCCTGCCCTCTGTAAATGATGCTTCAGCACCTCTTCTCCAGCCTTGACTGTCTTGCGTACTGCCTCAGTTGATGTTGCACCTGCTAAATAAGGAACATGAACTGGAGGCTTCTGGCCATGCAAGATCTTACGGGGAGTAGCTTTGGCTGCGGTATGAATAGTGGTGTAATACCACCATTCAACCTATGAAAGCACCTATTGAGATCTATGCTACTTTTTAGGTTTTCCCGAGTCATGCACCTCAAATAATTCTCCAAACACCTATGGAGAACTTCGACTTGCACATCTATTCGTAGGTGATATGCAGAAGTTAATCTCTGCTGCACCCCTAATAATTTTAGAAATTATTTTCAGAAATGGCTGAGGAATAGGGGATCCCAGTTACTAGTTATTTCAGTAGTAGCCCAATCCAACTTGTACGTATTATCTAGATACAATTGTGCTGCTGTATAAGTTCAATAAGGATAGGTTAATGGAAGAAAATGGGCATCCTAAATTTGTCAACTACCACCAGAATCGAGACCCTTGCCCCTGAATTTAGGTGTGCCATCAATAAAAAATCCATGCTGGTGCGCTTCCACACAGCTTGAGGAGAAGATAAAGGTTGAAGCATCCTGGTTGAGCTACTGTTTCAGTTTCACATCAATCACAATCATAAATTTGTAACATCATTAATTATATTCTTCTGCCAAAACATATCCTTCAAACGTTGACAAGTGGTATGAATTCCTAAATGCCCTCCCTGTAACGAATCACGCATCCATTTTAAAATGGTCAACTTTAAAGAATCATTGGTCATTTATTATATGCCAAAGGGTCAAAATTGAAGCAAATTAGTTAAACTTTGTTCTAAAATTGAAGGTGTACTTGTTAATTTCAACTTGATTGGCCCTTGTACCTTAGGATTAAGGATTGAGGGGGGGGGGATTTGTTGGAAGCTCCTTTGTTCTGAAGCGGTGATCCAGCAGCTGGTGATATGGGTGAAGGCCTTATCAGTTGTCAGGCAACCTGTCTTCGTCTTTAGCAGGTTTCAGATTTCCAAATTATTATTTTGAAGTTTGAAATTTTAGACATATTAGAGAGTGGACAAGCTTAAGAGAGAGGTGGCAAGTGTCTCTTGGCTGCTGCAATTCTAAGTCAAACTTGTTCATTGGAAAACTTTATGTCATGACTATACTACTGTAGAGGAGAAAAAAATATAAGTTTAAGGGTACTGTTTGTGTGATCCAATAACCGGTCATAGAGGGAGACCAAGAGAGATCTACGGAAATACTTGCCTCATCAATACACACATTGATGGTTTAATGCCCTAGTTTTTTGGGACATATATTTTGACTCTCGCAAGGAAAGAAGTACATTAATGGAAGTGAGAGAGAGAAGAGTACACTCCAAAAATCTGATATTGCTTATAATGGCAGTTTTACACAGACTTTTAACATGTCCATAAACTTCTACAGGGCATGTTCACGTTGCTGAGGCACTAGGAGTCCCGCTTCACATATTTTTCACTATGCCATGGACGTAAGTCTTGTTTGGTGAGATAGGCAATCGGGCATTTAGTAACCTGTTTTCCTACAATGGTTTCATACTACATGTGTACCATTCTCCATTCTTTGACTTTCGATAGTTTTTCAATGTGTATGATAAATTTGTCTACTATCTTTTTATTGATTTTTTCATTAGAATATGAAACACGTCGGCAACTTCAAAGTCAGCGATGCTTTTATATATTTCTTTTTTGACTATAATTGCAGGCCTACAAGTGAGTTCCCTCATCCTCTTTCCCGTGTCAAGATACAAATTGGATACAGAGTGAGTCCTTTGGCATGTCTAATATTCTAACTTAGCGCAGTCAATATATATATATATATTGGTGGAAAGCACAGTTGATCAATTTTAATGGCATGCCTAATTTGATTTTATTTTCATCTCTTTCAGCTGTCATATCAAATAGTTGATTCTTTAATCTGGCTTGGGATACGAGATATCATAAATGAATTTAGGAAGAAGCTGAAGCTAAGGCCTGTTACTTATCTTAGTGGATCTTATAGTAACACTCAGGATTTGCCCTACGGCTACATGTGGAGTCCTCAGCTGGTCCCAAAACCAAAAGGTGAAGTATGCATTTACAACTCTGTTTCAAGTATATATATGTTTTTAATTTCGAGTGGTTGATACTTTTGGTCTCATCATTCATCAGTAGTACCCTTGTCAGGGGCTATCTTGGGAGCATGTTGTTCTAGCATCACTCATGAGTCATGAACTTCTTGTTCTGCAGATTGGGGCCCTAAAATTGATGTTGTTGGATTTTGTTTCCTTAACCTTGCTTCAAATTATGAACCTCCGGTATCACTCATGGAGTGGCTTGAAGCTGGCAATAAACCTATTTATGTTGGATTTGGTAGCCTTGTGAGTTTTTCTATTCACATGTTTCTATTCTCTGACTGCTCCAATGAAGTCAAAGAATCCACTCTAAATTTAATGTTATCATGTTGATCAGTAACATAGCCATCGTCCCACTTTACCTATTCTTCTTGGTTACATCTATCACATACTCGTGTACAATAATAAAGATTATGTAATCAACACAGTTGCGGAGGGGTTGGCTCCATGTTTAGAAACTAAATCATGTGGCAGTAGAGTAGCAGCATTATCTAGTAAAACGATAGTGTTAGGAAAATTTTCTATGGTGAAATAAAATAAAACAAAATAAAATAACTCCTCAGAAGTGGCTGTAAGCCTATAACATAAACTTCTAATTCCACCATTGGGAACATAGTTATATGCCTGTTTGGTTTTTTGTTGGCCAAAAGTTTATTTGTTAAAAGTTTATTTGATAAAATTCAGTTTAGTAAAAGTCAATTATTGTAATGAAATTTTTATTTGGACTTTGGATACATTTTATCAAAATTACTTTGATAAATTGAAAGTTGTTTGGATAGTATATAATGAAAAGTACATTTAGAAGTAATAAAAATGTATATATAATATAAAATTTGAAATATTTAAATTATAGGAAAAACATATCTGCATGTCTTTATAGCTTGTTTCAATTTTAAATTAGTTCTCTACACTTTATTTTGTATTAGGTCTTTATAACTTGAAAAGTAATTTTGTTTTGAGAAAATTAATAATTCAGTATTGATTTAAACCTACAAGGATTAATATATTTAATAGATTAAACTATAAGGTTTTAATTAAAAAAAATTAAAGGGACTTAATTCAAAATTGAAAAAACTATAAGAGCTTGTAGATGAATTTTTTTCTAAAATTATAAAATATAAAATATAAAATGAACAAGCATAAAATTAGGAGTAGCATGGTCAAATATGAAATATTTTTAATAATTATTCTTTATAAAAAATTTATATATAAATAATTCTAAAACCTTGCTTTTGCATTGTCTCTTTACTTTGTCACAAGTCATTTTTTAATTTTTACTGTCCCTCTCCTCTCTCATCATGCACAAGCTAGGAGACTTTTGAAATGTGCTTTTAAAAAGCTCCCCCACATCAAGTCGAGAAAATTCACTTTCAACTACATTTTCAATGTGCTTTCCAAAAGTTGGTTTAGATAAAATTATAATACCCAAACAACATTGGGCTTTTTGAATGTGGAAAAGTACTTTCTAGATGTTAAATGTAGAATAACCAAAAGGACCCTATGATTATTTTATTATTATCCTAAGATAATTAGGTTCTTTCTTTTATTTAAATTACAATATCTATATTATCTTTTAGATTTAATTTAGTTCTGAATTAGGATTTATCTCTTATTTGAATAGGAAATATCTTGTCTTTATCTTTTATATTTGAGTAATCTGGATTACTTAAGATTAGGACCAGGTGTTGTAAATAGCCTTAGGGTTATTGACTTGAAGTTGTTTTTGGCCTATTAAATAAAGCTTGAGTAGTTTCAGTCACTCCCTCAATTTCTCTCCATGTTCTTCCTCCTCCTCCTTCCCCTTTCCCTTCGCTTGCTTTACATCATCCACATTAGCTGGTATAAATTATGATGGTACAATCAATTAAAGATGAGGGACTTGTAATGGATCATGAACCTTGCAAAAGTTCATAAGAAATGACCTGATTTGTTAAGACTGGAGAGGTTATTTAGGAAGAAGTAAAAAATTAGGAGTCACCGAAGAAGGGATGTTGCACATTAGTTGTGTACAGCAACGAGCAGTCTTATCCCATTAGGTGAGGTCAGTTACATGGATTATATGACATCATTGTACTCTATCATTTATTAAACTTTTAGAAATATTGTTAATTAAGAGGTCTCAAGTAACAACTTCCAAAAATATTCTTTTTAACCTTCGTCTACCCTTCTTCACAGGGCTTAAAGTTATCTATTCCATTTTTCTTACAGGTGCCTCCCATGATCTTTTTTGTGTACGTCCAAATAACTTTTTAAAAAATTTGCATATGGTAAAAATTAAGTTGAGAATCGAACGAAGTGATTGTAACATAAACATCTAGAATTGTTCCTCAACGTTAGCCATATGATTTGAGATGGTACACTATCCAACTGTTGAAATGAAATCTGGCTTCACTAAGGTAGGAATTTTTTTTTTTGGCCGGAAGATGGGAGAGAATTTTCAGGAACAAGCAAAAAATTAGGGAAGGCCCACTAGAAGAGAAAATATTAAGAAAATATTAACTTCCAATTCTGGAAAGATCAGCTGAATAAGCATTCACCGTAGTAGAGAAATGCAACAGCGGAGGCACAAGCCCCCTCTTAAATGGAACAGAACTGCTGGAGTTGGCAGTTTAAACATGAATCTTAGTTCCTAGGTCCAAAAATATGATATGGTAAACAGAGATCATTGTTATCTTTCAATTAAACTGAGGTTGTTGAGTTGTCTCTAGAGGGGTGATACTCTTGTTTTGCATGATTCTATATTTGTCGATCATTGCGCTAGTAAATAGATCGCAATTGCATAATCATTATGTCATGTCCTTTGCAAACTTCAAAGTAATCTTTTTGTTTCGAGCCTTGAACAGCCTGTACAGGAACCAAAGAGGATGACAGAAATTATAGTTCAGGCTCTGGAAATAACAGGGCAAAGAGGCGTCATCAACAAAGGCTGGGGCGATCTTGGTCTTACGAATTGTGAGTCCTGCTGCTGCTGCTTAGACCATGCGTAGTACACCACCAAATTTTAAATTTTTTGCACTCTTCCCATTGTGAAGCATGTATTAATTAGTGTTTCTCAGTGGCAGAGACGAAGAAGTCTGTGTACTTCTTGGACAACTGTCCGCATGATTGGCTGTTCTCACGATGCTCTGCTGTGGTAGCAACAATATTTTTCTCAGTAAGCGTACAACTGTTTTATATGTAAATTGAAGTTTGATTGGAAGGTGCGCGTGTTACAAGGTTCATCATGGAGGTGCTGGGACAACTGCTGCTGGCCTTAGAGCTGCGGTAATGTGTTGTTTGTCGTGAAATTTTGTAACTCGTACCATACCAGCAGATCACAAAGTCTCTTTTCCCCCACTGTTTAGTGTCCAACAACTGTGGTGCCCTTCTTTGGCGACCAGCTTTTCTGGGGGGAGCGAGTACAAGCCCAAGGAGTGGGCCCCGCGCCCATCCCAGTCGATGAGTTTTCACTTGACAAGTTGGTTAGTGCTATACGCTTCATGCTTGATCCGGAGGTAATATTTCTAGCTGTATTTTGTAATCATAGCAGTACGTGTTGTAGATGGGAGCCTGTGATATACAAATTGTTGCGTCCATGTTTATCTGACAGTTAATTCAAATGAAGAAAACAGATACATACAAGTCGGTCTAAGGAACTAGTCCCTCTGCACTCGTTGCAGGTGAAAACGCGGGCCTGTGAAATTGCGGAAGCCATTAAAAAGGAAGATGGAGTAGCGGGAGCCGTTCAAGCGTTCTACAAACATTTTCCTCGTCATGTATTTGAGGCTAAACTGGAGTCACAACGCCCTCCCACGAAACCATTTTCTTTACGTAGATGCTTTGGTTGCTAAATCTTCTGGATAAAGTATTTTCTTCTTCCATTTATGGGACCACGCTTGATAGGAGATCAGAATCATCATGTGATTTTTGGACAACCGTCTCTCTCTCTCTCTCTCTCTCTCTCTCGTTTTGCCATCTAATTTGTATGACAACTCCCAAAATGATTCCGTAATGTGTCAACCAGCTGATGCATGATACTCTGTCTATTGAAATCTTCACATATCGGGGCGGGAACATCGGATCCTTGGAAACAATTAATTATACTATAGGATTAGATGATTCTGATATTATTTTACAGGATTAATGTACCTATTTTTAGTGTGAAAAGACAAAAATACACTTCATGTGTATATTATATACTCTTTTGACAACTTTCCATTCCAAAAAAACAAAATTACATTCACATTTTAACAATAATAAATTCTTTTATTAACAGTTCTAAAAAATTAATTTGATGATGAAAAGAAACAAGTGTTATGATTTGGTAAATAAGTTCTCATTTAAGAAAAAAAATAAGTTTTATTTTTATTCTAACAACAATAAATTTTATCATTTACAACTTTAAAAAATTAATTTGATGATAGAAAAGAATAAATGTTGTGATTTAGTGAATAATTTTTATTTAAAAAACAAATTCATTTTCATTTTAACAATCAATTTTTTTTATTAACAATTTAAAAAGTGTTAATTTAGTAGAGGAATTATTATAATTTAATGAATAAATTTTTATTTAAAAAAAGTCTAATTTTTATTTTAACAATAATTAATTTTCCTATTATAACAAAAATATGTTAAGGTAGTTTTGTCTTTTTACAATAAATTTTAATTACATTTAGGCTCTTTGATCTTGCAGAATAACATCTGTATCTTTTGATCTTGCGGCATAATTAATTATTTTTAGAGATTTTTGATTGTGACTTTTCCTATTGGGATCTCTCTGCATTTGGATTTACAAAATGTGGAGAGAAGAAATAATAGATCAAATAACGTGACACCACTATTTTATCATTTTGATTTGATATTAATAATATGCTTTCATATTTTGATTCATAAACGTGCGACTTCTAACACAAATATAACTTGCATAAGAATTTTACTAATGTAATTTGCCGGTATTTCATTTTAAAAATAAATGTAGTCTACTTTTACTAGCACGACTGCTTGCGAAATTTTCAAATTTTGATTTATCCTTACACAATTAGTAATTGCCTTAATTTTTCTTTCATTTTTTCATGATATGTGAAGTACGTTTTTTTTTTTGGTAATTCCTAAATTTGAGTTTCTTTTTTTTTTTTTTTTAAACCAGCAAAATTTGACTTTTAATCTCATCCATAAAATTTATTTAGTATGAACCATAGATTACTTTTATCGGCCTTTCAAATTAATCATTCACAAGTCATAAATAAAAGAATTTATTCCTTATAATCCCGAACATGTCGAGTTGAAAAATATTCATCTAAAATTTCTAAATTATAAAATTAATGGTTTATAAAAAGAAGGCCTAACTTCGTTGACTTCTCCACATCTACGATTTAACTCACAGATCCCATTCCTCTGCATTTTTTCTCTTCCGGAGATAGGCCAAAGGAAACCAAGTATTATCAGAATGACTTTACATTAGATGAGAAAGGTGTAAATTTTGATGAAAAGGGGGGTGTTTCATGGGGCAAGTCTCACCTTGCTGCATGGGCAGAGAACCAAAATGTACACGGTCGGAAGATAAAACAGAATTCAACATCTAGTACTTCCCCCCTAAATTTAATTTTATATTGAATGGTTTATGCTGTGTTTCACCAACATTCGAAGAACTTCACCTTTTCTGACTTACTGCGTGCTTATCTTAATACTTGATGGATCCGCATCAAAATTCGACATTTGCAAGGAGGGCACAATGGGAGGTTTCATTCTGCGTGTTACGGTCATCTTCAACCCTTCTGTTGTATGAATTGTTGCCCCCGTAGTCATTTCAACCTATGAGAGCACCATGTGTCAATCAGATCCTCATTGCCAATTTCGTACTTTCAGAAATTTAAACGACCAGTTTTAGTTTCAAAACATTTAAACAACCACTTCTAGTTAGGTAAATGTCAGAAGAACCTTGAGATGTCTGAATTTGAAAATAGCACGGGAGATCATTGTGATTTTATCAAGCCTAGTTCCGTGTAATTGGCATGAAAAATTAGAAGTACTGAACAAACTAACTTACTGGCGGGGCTCCAAGGGCCATGTGGAAATTGAACCTCCTGACAAGCATCGCAAGTGCTACGACAGTCTATCCAATCATTATCAAGAATCATGCAAGTTAAAGTTTGTCATTAGTATGAACAAAAATCATGCCAGCTATTAGTAATGAGAAAATTAAATCCATTCTCATTGTCAAAGGCTATCCCAACTGGCTCATTAAAACTGTCAATAAACAAATAATTCAACCACACAGCAATGTCTTAGCTCCAAACCTACTTCATATGAAGCGAACATATCGCCGACACATTTTCGTGGTCCTCCACCAAATGGAAGATACCTGAAAAAAATTAAAACATTATTATTCCTTGCATTTACAGTTAAACGTAGAGATACTCAAGTAGGACATCATCCCTTTCAATGGGAGAGGGAGAAGAGAACAAGCAATAAACAAAAGTTATATACTTGAAGTTTTGATTTGTCTCATTAGGATTAGGTCCATCTAAGGCCCATCTGTCAGGAATAAATTGATCCGCATCTTCCCAAAGTTCTGGACTCCGATGTAAGTTCCAAACAGAGATAAAGATATCCTCACTCCTGAAAATAAAGAACATCAAAACTTACCAATAAACAAAAGTTAAGACTCCCAAAGCATTCATATCAGGTAAAAAGGGGAAAATTGACAAACTGCCTGCAGTTGGTGCAGAGGAAATATAATTACTTTTCTCAAGAATATCAATGCTGGTGCATTTTCAAGATTACCTTTTTATAGGATAGCCTCCCAGAACATCATTCTCAAGAGACCGGCGAATTAGCACAGGTGGTTGTGGGTAGAGCCTCAATGACTGAAAATTGAATATACGTTTAATTTAAAAAAAAAAAGGGTCAACTGCTAGCCATGTAAGAGGTCAACTCAGCACAACGCCCAACATGTTATCATCATACCTCATTGATCACTCGAGTTGTAAATTTGAGTTTCTTCATGTCGTCAATAGATGGAAATCGATCTCCAAGTATGGAGTCAACCTTCGAATACATCAATAACAAGTAATGACTATTATAGAGTCAGAAATATATGAAATTAAATGCTCACTTTGATACTAACTCGGGAGCTTAGAAAATTGATACCTCTTCCTGAAGCTTGGACATGATACCAGGCTCCTGCAGCCAACAAAAATGGATAAAAGATTCTCAAATGAACCATTACAGTAGGATAAATTTGTTAGTACAGTCAAAGAAATATTATCATAACCATTTCGTTCAGTTGGTAAGTGGAGTTATATCTGCAGTTTCCATATTATAACTTCTCTAAGCAGTGACACTGTTTGTTGGGCAAGTTCAAAGAAGTCTATCTGGAATTTAAATTAATCAAGAAAATTTAAGGAGTACAAATGTTCAAATTTTTCCAAGCCAGCTATATAACAAAGTTTTGTGGTAAATCAAGGATGGGATAAGAAAACATAGACAGCAATTATAATCCTGTCTTCATTAAAGTTCAGCAACATAACCTTTGCTAGAAGATAGAAGGTCCAAGTTAAGACAGAAGCTGATGTTTCATGTCCAGCAATAAGCATTGTCATTAAATCATCACGAAGTTGCTTACTTGATACCTACACAAACAGTCATTACATTGTACTAAAGCCAGTTTTACATCAATTAAGACGTGCTTTGACAAACAGCTAACATACATCATCTCCTGATGCTAATAAGAAGTGCAGAATACTAGGGTCTTTTTCATTCATGTACTCTTCATGAAACTGTAACTCTTCTTCATCAACCATTCTCTGCAAAAGGAACATTATTGATGAAATGCAAGCTCAATTTAGGAAAAATTGTTTTCAGGAGCCAGAATAGGTATTTTATGAATTGTTGAACCTCATTCTGATGAAAGTATTAACTAATGGAAGAAGAAATTTTACTGACTAGTGAACCCAACATCTATTTCGGAAACAAGCACATCAACAGACAAATATAATTTTTGCTGGTTTTTTTAGAAAATTATTAAGTAGAAAAATAACCTATCGTATATTGTTCTAAAAGTGTGTTTGAAGCAAGTTACACACACACACACGCATATCCAGTTATCCACATTTAAAAGTTTTTCTAATTTAATTTGTAAATATCATGTCAGCAACCAATCTCACAATGGGTGCTTCAACGACCATCAATCGTAGTTTCTGAACTTAGGAGAACTAGTAAGATTCATGCATTGTGAGACACCATCAAAATCATCAATGTACTCCACCATAAACCTGACAATTATGGGGCCTTGACAGTTCACCAATATGTGCAAGTTCCTTTCTGTTGAGGTGTCACATGGGTAAACCTATGTTATATGCAACCATTTAAGAGTAGAATTTTGTGTTTCTCCAAAGGCAACTTTACCTTGCATATTGATATCAGATTATCAAGCGTGTCATTGACTAATTTGAGAGCTGAAGCAACCTTCCTTTGACGTGGTGAAATGTCTTTCCATATGGGGATCTCCCAGAAAGGAATTGGAGCAACACTTCGATCTTCTGCTTCTCTCAGTACAGTATAAACAGCCTGATCTAATCAAATAAATCACCAATATATGAAGCTTGAATCTAAAGTAGCCAAATGGAGAATAAGCAAGGGAAAAACTGAAAACTTGAACATCAAATGACAGAAAGGAAGGGAATATGGCAAAACCATACCTCAACTATGCCAGTGTCATTTGTTAAAGAATCAAAATCATAATTGAATACTGCCTTGCCAATGATATCCAAAGTCAAACGAGAGAAAAGTGACTCCATCTCAACATCTTCCCCATCAGATGCTGCAGCATCTAACTTCTTGCAGAGTCTCTCTGTAGCTTGTCCAAAAACGTTAATCATAGCTGCTACATACTGTGGTTACAATCAAGAAACAAATCAACATCACAAAACGGTAATCATGGAGATGTTTAAAGAAAACATGAGTAGAAAAGAAATAGCATTGAATCAGAGATGATGCTCTAAGCATTTCAAGTTATAAACAACAATCTGGTGGTGATAATTAAATAGGGAAGCTCTACTTATTTATCAAGTAACAATGTAAACAAGCTTATCCCACAAAGCACACTATTTAGTTATGCCATGCGCATCAATGACAAGTTAGTCATCTCTTCCAATATTAGAGTGGAAAGCTTTGAATATTGACCACAGAAAGTTTCAATCAATAAATTTTAAGGTAAATCTATGATATTGTTGGGCATAGACTTCAAATACATCGGTCCAAAGATACTAGATAACCTTCTGATGCAATGCTGGGACTATAGCACGTCGTCTAACACGCCATATTTCCCCATCAGCAGGGATGAGCCCCTTTCCCATTACGAACTCCAGGATCTCGGCCAAGATACCCTGCATGTGGAGGGGTATCAAAATCACGAAGGACTGCGATCTGAAAAGGTTTGGCATCCATTATTCATTTAATTACCTTTGAATATGCCTTTGAATTGTCTCTCAAGATGTGTTTTGCAATGGATGGATCGGATACTATCAGAAAAGACTGCATGATAATGAAGTGAGATTGTGGGAATCAACTGAATAGTAGTTATACGGTGTTGTTGCCACATAGTTGTTAAAAACATCAACATGTCAGCGGATATAGCCATAAAAGAACAAAACCAACCTTTGGTCCAAAGGTCAGTCTGAAAATTCCACCGTATGTGAGGTAAAGTTCATACAACGGAATGAAGAACGCCTCACTTCGAATGGCTTTGATTGATCCTTTCGCCTCGGGAATGATGGGATTTTCACGAAGCCCATCCATCCTACCAAACAGAAGATCCAGAACCTCCTCGGGCATGCCCAACTTTGACAAACTCTTCTTTAATACAGACGGGAAACTAGTTGAAAGCGGAAAGAAAATAAAGATAAAAATTACGACTTAAGCTCGGAAAAGCCGGGCCAGAGCGTGAAGGGAGAAATGTCTACATTAAATTCTCTATTGAAAGTGCGAATGAACAAGAGATGAATTCCAGAATAGGCAGGGTGATGCGAGTGATACTGTAGCAGGGTATGACCCGGAGAGGCGTTATGATTAATTATAAAGGCAAAGGTAAAGACAGTACAGCGGGTAGAAAGAGATGCGGACGAGAAGACATACCCGGACTGCTGCACCGTAAATTCTCCGGAGGCAATGCGAGCGGCCAACTCAGCTCGTCGTCGTTGTTCACGAAGGCGGTCGCCGCTCTTGCTCTTGACGCCATCAGCAAGGGAAGTGGGGTCTCTGCCATTAGAAGAGGAAGAGGTGATAACCGAAAATCCGGAGAATCCTGCGAAAGAGGGGGGGAAAGAAATTGAGGAGGGAAAAGATAATCGGAGGGGATGAAGAAGAGAATGATTGAGATATACCTCTGGGTGTTGTGGAGGTGGTGATAGGGTCGAAATAAGAAGGATAGACGTGGCGGTGGGGGGAAATGGAAAGAGGAAGAAGAGCAACATGAGGAGCCATTGACGGCGGCGGAGAGCCGAGTGAAGTGAGAGAGTAATGTAATCCGAAGTTGAGGGACGGTACGTGTTTTATGGTATTACAGATTACAGATGGCGCTAAAAGTACAGCTTTCCCGCCGCTAAAAAACACGCAATGGAATCTCCTTGAACTGCATTTCTTGATGCCTCCCGTTTTTTCTCTTTCTCATCGGTCATCATCCTATTATCCCCTTGGTCCTAATGCCTGCCATGTTTATTTAGCTCGCGCTCCCCCCCCCCCCCCCCCTCTTTTAACTATTTTTATGATATATATATATATATATATATTATTCTAATCAGACGTTTGATATTAAATAAAAATAATTGTCTGATGCTTGGCTTGTCTTGTAATATAATTTTTTACTCCATACAGATATTCTTTTATTACTGATAATGTTGGAAGCTTAGTCGGACACTGCATTAATAAATTATAACATAATTTATATATCATTTAATTTTTTTTTTCATACATTAGCCTCATTAATTGCGCTGTTTCATCTCGCTACCTTTTTATTATTATATTATTCAATAAATCAAATTATATATTATTTATATATGTACATTTTCAAATTTTAATAATTACATATTTAAAAGCACTTGTTATTAGATACTATCAAATTGACGTTTAAAAAAATTCAAATATAAAAAAACTGTTAACAAACGAACCAAACTAACTTATGATAAAATTCTGCCAAACCCATGTTGAATTTGGAAGGGAGCCGTGGGATTTTGATGTACTAGTGCGTGTGGGGAACCTCGAGGCCGATAAATTTGGCAAGACATTACACCAGGATGGAATGGAGGAGTCTTGTATGAATTTTATTTATACTATTTATACATGTACATCAGACATGAGTGGGTTATGCTTTGTGTCACTCTTTTATACAGCTAGAGGTTTTAATTTAAAATGCAAAACAAGAGATAGGCAGCGTGAGGGAGAAGAGAATTTGGTTTGGTTGGAGGAGAGGAGAAGGGAAGTAGGAGGCATTCCTGGTGTTCATGGAGGCCTTGACGCGCTCAGCATTCTACTTGACAGAGTCCTTAGCCTTGAATCTTGATGTTGGCGGCGGCATCCCCTTCCTTTGAGTTTGAGGTCTGATCCTCGGAGGAGTATGCCTCGCGTTGCCGCAATTCTTGCGGTGGCGATGCCATGGATGGCTCCTACTCTTGCTTCCTCGCTCTCGCCTCCTACCTGTCGCATTTCAATTCATCAATTTCTCTGTTATGTATTTCCACGCATTCTTGCTCAAGCAAACAAATTTACTCACTTGATGCATACGCCTCGCCCCCAACACCCTGCTCCCCAACTTACTATCCTCATTGTCAGCCTCACTTTTTCTGTGAATCATGCCCCCTTTCTAGCTTTTTTATTTATAACCCCTTCGCCCGCCCTCTTTGCTCCCCTTCCCTCTCTTCTCCACTCATTCTTTCTCCCTCTCTTCCTTTTTCCCCACAAATCTCCACATTCCATGCTCCTTACCCTCATTCTATCAGATATTAGCCTGCATTTCAATTTCTTTCTTTCCTTTTTTTTTTTTTATAAACAAGGAAAGGAAGCAAAACTAACCGGCAATGCTATTGTCTTGCACCAAAATGATAAATAAGTATTGTGAAATGTGATAATTCAAAATCCTTCCAAAGCCAAATAGGTATTTCATTCAAAATCCATCCTAGTAAACAACTCCCCAATCTAACATTTGGAGGTTGCTCTAGAATGGATCATGAAAAGAGACAAAAATATACCTTTGAAATATGCAATAACGACAAATAAATATTGTAAAATGTGATAACTATGTTTAGTCTTTAGAGACTTGTCTAACATTTTGGTTTTTTGGAAAATGACTTATTTGTCTCTTCTTGAATTTTAGTTTCCAATCTTACTGTTGCCTAACGCAAGTGCAAGGGTCGTAGCAAGTAATATAATAAAAGTAAAGTATTGTTCCCTTAAGAATTTATTCAAAAACAATGATCAAATAAAAGATTAAGTAAATTCAATTAAGTTGAGTTACACAAAGTTAGGTGAAAATGATTTTGTAAACTAAACTAATACTAGAAAATAAAAAAGTAATTAATTCACAAACTTCAAACACAAATTAGGACCTAGAATTATTTATCCTCCTTGTATTTTTCATAACGCCAAAATTACCTCTTCTCATAAATGCTTTTAATGAAAATAAATGCTAACCTAGAGTTCTAAAAATAATTGAACAAGCTCTCTCAAGTTATAAACAAGTGTTTAGTTAAATTAATTGCTCAATCTCTTGTTACAATTGATAAAACTCAATTTTAAACACCAACCCTAATGTGGCTATGCAAGGCTAGCAAATATATCTCTATCTTACTAGCAAAACCATCCATTTAACCTGTAAATATCAAGTTCTTGTACTATTTTACCTAAGCTCTACATTTAACCTAGCCCTCTCAAGCATCAATTAAGTGAACTCAATATCAAAATGGTGGCCAATCACTTAAAAGCATTAAAGAAAGAGTAAAATAAATATATATATATGTTATTAATCATAAAAAGAGAGGAGGAACTTAATGTTAATTTATACAAAGGTTCAAAATAACCCTAGAACAAAGCTATCTATAATCATTCAAAAGATACAAAAACACAAAATATTTGAACCCATATCAAAATATAAAGAGAGGAAAGGGAAGAGGAATATAAAAATTAGAGAAAACAAGCTTCAAATGTCTTCAAAACTCCATTCTCTTGGACCCAACTCTTTCAATGACTAAACCCTAGCACACAAAGCTTCAAATGGTTGTTCAAAGTCTAAAGAATCCACTTTGAGTCGAGCTCAGAGCACATATATGTCCTAGCCAACCAATTTTTGATAAATAAAACGTAACGTTTTTTCAAACAGCGACAAAAGTTGCGAAATGAAAGTCGTGACTTTCTAATGACTTTGACATTTTTAAACTATTTTCACAATTAACAAAATTTTTCCTTTTTGCACTTGATTTTTTCATCCAAAAGCCTTTCAAAAACATCAACAAAGCTCCAGAAATGTATCTAATCAAATCCCAAACCAAAATAACACAAAATTAAGTCAAAAATATTAAATTAAAGCTAAAAATGCAAACCCAAAGTAAAATACATATTTTCCTAATTTGGGCAATAAAAATATATACAAATAAGGCAAATTGGATTAAAATCTTAAAAAATGTGATGAAATGACATGAAATTCTAGAGGTTAACATTTACTCTCTCCAATGTGGTTGCACTCAAGTCTCCAAAATGCCTCGTATGTACTCTTGCAAGCTGCAAGCTCCCTGACTTGTAACTCATTCAAGCACCATTGATTCAAATCTGCCACACAACTTGTGGAAGCATAGGACCCCAAAACTCTAGTCGCATCAACCTACGAAGGCAAATTGTATCTATCTATGAGGATGATATCATAATAGTCTTGGGTACCCGACCCGATAGTGGACTCAGCTAGTGTTGCTGGTGGGTTGCTCCAACCACATAACACAACCTAGTTGGATTAGATTAATTGAGAAAGGGGGATCGGATGACAATATAGAAAATGAAGTTAATGAGAATCAAATATGAAAGGGTACGAGTATAGAAGCCAACGTTCAAGCAGGTTCCATCGTCAAGAACTCAAGCTCTGGAGTTGATGACACCATTTAGGAGATGAAGTACTTGGCGAGAGAAGCAAGGAGCATCAGAGGGAGGAAGATTGGAAACTAACATTAAGGGAGGGGCAATTTTGTAAAACTTTTGAAAAGCTAAAATGCAAATAATTATTATAAATCCAAGAAATATCTACAAGCCTAGAAGGTTACAAGATGTTTCATTATTATTAATGGAAGGAATTTACTTCATTATGGTATTTGTTTGCATATTTATCAATCGTGATTTATCCACATATGACTCTCAACATTGATCATGATTGTCTTTAAAGTAATTGATGCATATATTATATTAATTTTTTAGTTAATTTTATAAATAATTTGATATTTTGAATAAATGAAAGGAAAATCTTAACTACTCATTGCCTCATATAGTGAATGTGCTCTTGCAACAATAGTATTGAAGGATAAGTTGATGAGATTTATGTGACTATGTTATATGCGGGTTCTTGAAGAATTACAAAATTAATTAGTTCATGAAGAACTCATGTAAATATATTTTTCATTTATATGGTTGAAATAATAGTGAAATCCCATAGATATTATTCAAAAAGGAAAATATTTACCACACTTGAACATAAGCAAAAGAAATTATTGGCATTTTATGCATATAAGGGGTAAAGCTTCCAGAAAAGCTATATCATGGTTTATTATTCAAAAATGAATTCTAACATTGATAACATATTTCATATGAATTTGTTAAATTTCAAAAATATTCGCTGAAATGAATATTATATTGAAGCTATATATATAAAATAATAATAATTAGAAGTTACCAATAATTGAGAATAATATTACAAAAAACTTGAGGTTTATTTAACCACATGCATGTATGGTTTGGCATAACCAGTTAAATCATCGTAGTTCACAATGACGTAGAATGTTATGAAGGATTTGCATTGGCATTTATTAAAGAATCAGATAATTCTTTATAAATGGCTAATATATTACATAGATAATAGATTTTTATGTGCTACTTGTTCTCTCAAAGAATTAAATATGAAAACATCATTAGCTAGATTGGATCCATGTAAATTTGAAAATTATGATTAGACTAGCACTTATGATTATGAAAGATGCATCTAGAAAATGGTCATGAGTGTTTATCATCAATTTGCAACTTGAAATTTGCTAATTTGTTCAAGTAATTACATAAAGTGCACAAGTTCCAAATTTGTGATCAATATGATTTATGTTGAAATTGCTGGTGATCGTTCGTCAAGTTTTCAATCATTATATGCTTAATCAAAGCATATTTAACATAATAATATAGAAAGGTAATTTATGAAATCCTCCATAAATAGCAATACGAGAACAAAATCCCTATTCTAATGCCAGGATAGTTGATCTTATATACTGTAGTACTCAAACTCATCAAGCCAATAAAGTATTATAAATTCTCCTACTTTAATTGGCTTTTGGTTAGGAGCAAAAAATTTTCCATCTTAAAATTTTTGGATGTGCAATGCCTATTATTATTGTTCCACCATGCTGCACATAAATGATTATTTATAGAAAGTTGGGATAAATATTAGATAAAAACCTCCTTCTTCTTATTTCTCTCTAAATGATACAAAGAAGTGTTTCTAAAGGAAACAAATATATTTGGCAGACTTATACTGCATGATTAGCTAGTTATCATCATTCGACAAAGTTCTCCCAACATTAGGGGGAGAAAATGAGTAGCTAGTATAGGAAATATATAGAAGCATTATCACTATATCTTATTTAAATCTTCACATATAGCAATATGAACTAGAAGTTCATCAAATGTAGCACATTCCTAAAGAATTTGCCATATACAATCACTTACCTAAATAAAAATTACTAAATTTCTTATTCCAGCTAAAAATGCTCTAATTAGAATAAATGAAAATGAGACAAGCTCGAGGCATGAAAGACCAATCAACTCCAAATATAAATTTAGAAAAAAGGAGAAAATAATCAAGATACTATTGAGGAGGTAGATACTCCAAAAGAGGGTCAAGACATAACTAATTGTAAAATCCTAAAAAAGGTTCGGGTACATGAAATTAATAAAGAGATCTCAATAAGTTATGTCACAATTAAAAAATGAAACTGAAAAGATAAAGTTGTCAACAATTTTGATGATAATATCACATGATTAAATGAGGATTTTATATACAAATTTGTCAAGTAGACACAAAAATAATTGACCAAATAGAAAAAAGCAAAGAAAAAGAGGCAAAGTGAGTAGAACTATATTCATTTTTAATATGTAAAAATCATGAACATATAGTCCAAATACTTGAAGTGTAAAATTATTATGAGATAAATGAACATTTATGTGTAAATAATGATTTTCGCAAAAGTCTAATTATGATAAAGTATATTATCTTGTGATGAATTTTTGTATATATCATTAGTCTGGTAGTATATGAAATTCAAATATGATGCATCTATTAAATATCATCATAGGATATGCATATTACTCATTACATAATGAAATTTATATGATAATCTTTAAAGGAGTTAAAATACCAAAATCATGAAAAATTCCTAAGAAAAGTATTCAACACACATACATGTGTAAGTTCTTAAGCTTGTGTGAATTAAAATAGTTTGAGTGTGTGTGTGTGTGTTGTCTTTGCAAATATGTATTAAAAATGATAGGTTTTGATAAAAAAGAATTTGAGAATAAAATTTAGGGCTAGTGATAGCTAATGAGCTTTGGCTT